GAGAAAAATACCTTAACAGTGGAAATTGTTGTTTTCCAGTAGTGGGTGAAATGAAAACACGCAATAAATATTACTGGCTTGGTGGTTAAGGTGAAATGTAAAGTACGCGTTATAAGGCCAAATTGAGTGCATATTTCTGACACGATGCACTTCTGACTTACTAAAATACCTAGAACGATACATGTTTATTTAAATAAATGATCACCTATAAACTATATTTCAAATTGTTAGAATATAGAAAGTCTAGCAGCGCCGACATTTTAACATACAGTGTAAATGGGGTTTGCTCCAAAAACAACCATTAAGGTATACTTTAGTCTTGCTTTCTATGTCTGTCCTTTGCCATTGTTATTGGAAACCCTCGAATGGTTTAAAACCCTTCTCAAAGAGAATATACAGTGGTGGTCACGTAATTAAAACATTTATTGTGGTAAACATTTTTTGATCAGCCCTCGATTCGTTTGAAGTATTTTTGAAAATTTTTTAAATCAGAACACTTCGATTTACTGCACCTTAGAGATAAAGTGTGAAAATAGAAAATTATTGCATGCAATTTTTCCATAAATAACGGTTTTTATGAAAATACATCGACTTTGAAGTGGTCACATAATTAAAACATTGTGTAATTTTTTGCTTTACTGCATTTTTTTGAAAATATTTTTAAAAAAAGCTCTTTGATTTAGTTAAATTATGTATACTAAGCACCGATAAAATCATATACAGATAAAAATTTTTGAAAAAAATCTGTAAAATCTATCAAAATTGCCAACAATTTGTACAGTACACCTAACATTCAGAAAGTCACCTTTATTACAGAAAATAAAGGTCCAAATGCACCAGAAATTGCAAGATTTAGCAGAAAACAATAAATAATTCCCAAATAAATATTTGAAATAAAAACTCAAAAATGGGAATTAACCTAAAGGAACGATTAAACTTCGATAGCCTTTATTGAAGAAGGGCAGAATATTTTTGCAGTATGTGAAAAATGTCCATCGATATTGGCATTTATTATATCAAATCGATTGTTCGAGTAGTAGAGAATATATTTTATCAAAAAATATTTCAGTCACAACAGAACGAACAGAGATCAACGCCTATGTTGACGAGTAAAAGTTTCTGGCACACAGCAGCAATTTTGATGGTCAACACTTGACCCTTAAAATCTATTGAACATGATAATACTTTTCCAAAATAATATTTTTTGAATAGAATAACATCCACTTAATCTATTTTAGCCTCAAAGAAAAAAACATTTTACAGTTTGACAAATATTTGAAGGCTTTTGTTGAGCATCGAGAATGCTGCTGTGTGCCAGAAACTTTTACTCGTCAACATAGGCGTTGATCTCTGTCCGTTCTGTTGTGACTGATATATTTTTTGATAAAATATATTCTCTACTACTCGAACAATAGACTTGATATAATAAATGCCAATATCGATGGATATTTTCTCACATACTGCAAAAATATTCTGGCCTTCTTCAATAACGGCTATCGAAGTTTAATCGTTCCTTTAGGTTAATTCCCATTTTTTGAGTTTTTATTTCAAATATTTATTTATTTTGAGAATTATTTATTGTTTTCTGCTAATTCTTGCCATTTCTGGTGCATTTGCACCTTTATTTTCTGTAATAAAGGTGATTTTCTGAATGTTAGGTGTACTGTACAAATTGTTGGCAATTTTGATAGATTTTACAGATTTTTTTCAAAAATTTTTATCTGTATATGATTTTATCGGTTTAGTATACATATTTTAACTAAATCAAAGAGCTTTTTTAAAAATATTTTCACAAAAATGCAGTAAAGTAAAAAATTACACAATGTTTTAATTATGTGGCCACTTCAAAGTCGATGTATTTTCATAAAAACCGTTATTTATGGAAAAATTGCATGCAATAATTTTCTATTTTCACACTTTATCTCTAAGGTGCAGTATATCGAAGTGTTCTGATTAAAAAAATTTTCAAAAATACTTCAAACGAATCGAGGACTGATCAAAAAATGTTTACCACAATAAATGTTTTAATTACGTGGCCACCACTGTATATCCCCAATCACAATAAGATCGGAATAAAACTCCTCGTCCGTCTGTAAACATCGCAATATTTAAGGTGGAGCTTTGAAATTTTACACATAATATGTTTAGATATATCGATATTCCCAAATATTTTGTATTTTGAAGTTTTTCAACAAAATTACCATATTTTGTGTTTGTACTGAATTGTCTGTCATTTGGTATTTACGATTCTCATGTAATAGCACATATCCGGACCAAAATAGTGAATATTGTCACAAGTTCCAGGGTAGCACCCATTAAACGGTACCTTCTTTACAGTATATTTTCATGTTCATAATTAGGCCCTATACCAGGCCACGCGTTATTTTCGGTATGTTGAATAGCCTAGTCCAAATTTTTAACCTATGCCTTGCATAGTCTCTATAAAAATTCCAAATTGATTTTGGTTATTCGAATTGTTCAGCTTCTTGTGGAGGTTATTCAACCGTTCAAACTTAATGACGTTATTATTTGTTTTTATTCAATCTAATGTATGTGATATATAGCACACTAGATCCAAAGCGATTCGGTCCAAACATTACAGAAAATATTGAAAAACTAGCATAGGCCCCCTACTTCGTTAACGGATGTGAGAATTATTTAAACATGTCTAAAGCACACAATATACACACCAATATAGACCACAATTAAAATGTTAGTACCAAAATTTCTTACATAGCCCAATCCCATTTTCGAAACTTTTTACATAGCCCAATCCAACACCCCAACTGTGATCCTAACTAAAAATTAAGGATCTAAGACTTTCGGTTCACCCAAAATTGAAATTGTACCAAAGTTAATACCATTTAGTACCCATTAGCATGAGTTTCCAAAACTACCCATCAGCGACGTTGCCAGAGGACCACACACCAATAGTACACTTCAACAGTGTTCTAGATCTATGGGTTCACATATCACAGATCACATATTTGGTACAACTTAGTACACATTTCTAAAACATCCTATATATCTCAATCCTACACCCCAACAATGATCCTAACTCAAAATTTCAGGATCTCAACACTGTCGGTTCAACCAAAATTCAAATAGTACCAAATGTAGTACCATTTAATACCCATAACTATGAATTTCCAAAACTACACCCATACACCAATCGTACACAATCCTAAACAGTAACCTTGTTTCCAAATTTCAGTATTCTAGCTCTATCGGTTCACCCTAATATACTTTTGGTACTATTCAGTACACATTAGTAATAACTTTCTATATATCCCAATCCCACACCTTAACAGTGACTCTAACTCGAAATTTCATGATTCCTGCCCTATCGGTTCACTTTAAATCCAAATTGTACCAAATATAGTACTATTTATTACGTTTAGTACACAAAAGTACAAATTTCTACAACTACCTACATATCGCTACGCTTCGACTGTAATATTAATTTCAGAATTTCAACTTCATCCGTTTCTCTAAATTCTAGTTCTACCAAATTTAGTACAGTTTAGTACTTTTCGTATACATGAGTACACAATTTCAAATCTACCGCCTTATATCGACCCTACATCTCAACCTTGATTCGGGTTCCAAATTTCAAGTTTTTAGCTCTATCCGTTCACATGCTACGAAATTGTAACAAATTTAGTACATATTAGTACTTTTCGTATACTTATAGTTCGAATTTCCAAAAACTATACCGTTTCGCCAATTACAAATATTACCATGTTTAGTACTTTTTGTGCCGTTCTAGCACGAATTTCCCAACCCAACCTTATGTGACACTTTTGGACCAAGAGTGACCCTTACCCACAATTTCAAGATTCTATCTTCAGCCGTTTGGCAGGTCATTGATGAATCGATTGATAAGTCCAACAGTGAGTCAGTCAATCACTTTACTCTTTTATTAGTATAGATTGTTTACATATTATTTTTCCATAATACTTTGGGTCTTAAAAAATTCGTATACTTCATTTGATGATTATTTTTATTAAATACATATTTCGTGTTATGTTTTTTTTTCAATACTCAAATAAATGCTTCAGAAACACATCAGATACAGCATTCTTCAGTACCAATTTAATGGACGTTTCGTTCGTTCGTTCGTTGAACAACAAGTTTTAATTCCCATCAAGGTCAAATGAGAGTATTCAACAAGAATGTGAATAAAATACAATGGATCGGAATATAGAGTTGTTAAAAAATGTTTAATATCGATGTTTGTTGTGGTAACGGAGATATTAAATCATTTGCTTTGAACTATTCAGAGCACACCCTATCTGAAGGCAATAAAATATGCAGTTAAAATTGAATACATATTTAATGATTTTTTTTTAAAGATTGTTTATGTTTCTCGCAGTTGGTAGGTATTTTCAAAAATTTGAATGGTAATTTGTTAGTGTGTTTTTCTGTAATTTTGTAGTTTCTCTAAGAAAATAAAATGACATTAATAACCAACTGGCCATAACGGCATTTCAGTTTATTAAACTATTTAAGTGTTTTTATTATTTTTTTATTTTTTGTATTTTTTGCACTCATTTCTTTTGACAAAAACCACCAAAAATGTTGTTTGCCTAACACACAAAACTGGCCAAGAAATCGTAATGACAGTGATATGTATGTGCTAAATATATATTTCGTTTTTCTGTTCTCTTCTTCCCCTCTTCATTCTAACTTCAGGCGATCCGAAATAAAAGAATTAGACCAACGAATAACAGAAAAAAAACCTAAAAGTCGAAAAACAACTTCGAAAGATTTTTTTCGTTTGTGCCCAACATTTTTTAAATCTAATGTCCGACAATAAACGACACGTATAATAAAAAAACTCAGGTGAATTTGTCCGAATTTCTGTGAAGTTGTCCCCAACAAGGGTTTAAAATAACCGAAACGACAACAAAAATTACACCACCATTATTATGACCAACAATTGGAAGTGGTGGTCGTCGGACCACTTGTTTACGGTGACGCGATTCAACATTCTGCCGCTGCTGTTACTGCTGCTGATGTTTTCTGTGCCATGGACAAATTGCCAGTTTTTAAATCAACCACCTCGTTTTGTACCCGGCTCCGGAGATATGTCCAGATTTAGTCTATCGGAAAATTCACCTGTTGGCAGTCCAGTTTATCAATTGAGAGGTAAGTGGTTATTATTACATGAATTTATATGAAATATTAACATGTTTTCGAACATTCGAGGCATGATTGTGGCAGTTTGACTTTCAAAAAAAATTGTGTTTTTTGTTCTTATTTTCAAAATAATTATTAAAATATTTGTATAGCATATTTAGCATTTTGGAAATAAAATACTTTGCATATGCCATAGATGGAAAAGCCTTTAAAGCAGGGACCGTAACGGTTATAACTTATATCAAATCAGGTAAAAAATAACTGTTATTATGTGACCTAAATAAAAAAAATCCGCTTTAATTATTTATTTTTTAACGGAAAAAATAAACGTTGATTTTTAACTGTTAAAAATGATTTTTATTTTTTCCGTCAAAAATAAAAGTCTTTTTGGGACTTCTATTTTTTCCGTCAAAAATAACAGTTTTTTTGGGACTTTTATTTTTTCCGTCAAAAATAAAAGTCTTTTTGGGACTTTTATTTTTTCCGTCAAAAATAAAAGTCTTTTTGTGATTTTTATTTTTTCCGTCAGGAAATAAAAGTCTTTTTACGTAAATAAACATATAGAGTTTGGTACCAGTTATATAACCTTTGACCTAATAGTCAGGGTAATGATTCTTTAATTTATATTCATGATTTGGTACACTAGACTATTTTTTAAAAATTTATAACAAATATTTTTTACCTTTGATCTTGATTACTTATGTGTACACTTATTGTAATAAGGACAGAGATTTATAAATTGTAATTTTATAACTGATTACAAGTTGTATAAACTTCTTTACATAAAAAGAGTTTTATTTCCTGACGGAAAAAATAAAAAGCCCAAAAAGACATTTATTTTCTGACGGAAAAAATAAAAGTCCCAAAAAGACTTTTATTTTTGACGGAAAAAATAAAAATCATTTTTAACAGTTAAAAATCAACGTTTATTTTTTCCGTTAAAAAATAATCCTTAACATGGGAACTGAGAGTGTTTTCTCAAGATCACTCAATATCCTTAATGGGCTCCTCAACACGAATCTATTGGTATATGACACTATTGGTGTCCCATGTCTCTAACATGAAGATTTTTTTGTTCGCATTTTAAAAAATAACTGTTATTTTCGGTCCCTGCTTTAAACGATTTTTTCATGGGGTACAGATCCTAAAGACAGAATACTTCCTATAGGTCTTTCGTATTTAATATACATTCTATAGGTTTTTTGTATCCCGAAAATATTCTAGAGGTAAAAAATATTTTATATACAAAACGTGTCAGTTAAATAACTAGAACATCGGAACTATGGAGATCTTTAATAGGTTCCATATATTACTGACCTAAAGTAAGTCTTCTACATATGTAAGACATATAAAAGATCTGGAACTTTGGTACTTAGAAGACCTTCCAAATAACCTTCAATATATTACCGACCTTTCGATAGATATATATCCCAAATTTAGAAGATCTTCCAAATAACCTTCAATATATTACCGATCTTCCGACAGATATATACCCCACGTCGATGGAAGGTAATTATACAGGATTTAACTTCACTTGAAAAAAAAAATCTGGTTGCCGTCCCCCCAGAAGTGAATGTCTGGCTACGTCGTTGGTCTATGGTATATGCAGTAGAGATTTATTCTTACTTTTGTATGCTATTTAAGATTGCGGAGATCTACGGAATCAACAAGTGTTAATATGGGGCATTTTTATACCCTTCACCACACTGTGGTACAGGGTATTATGTCTTTGTGCATATGTTTGTAAAAGGCAAAACGAAACAAGATAGACACATGGTTCCTTTCGAGAATATGCATAGAATCACTTTTTAAGTCGATTTATGCATGTCCGTCCGTACGTCCGTCTGTCGATGTTAAATTGTAAACAATGTACAGGTCGCATTTATGATCCGAATTGGATGAAATTTGGCACAGCCCATCTATTTGGCCTAAGGACGAGCCCTATTGAAATTGGGAAAGCATCGGTTCAAATTTAGATATAGCTCCCATATATATTTTCGTCCGATTGAAAGTAAATGGTGCACCAAAGTTCCTATATATCTTTCGATTTGCACCAAACTTTGCATATCGTACTAAATTAAGTCTTGAGAGATGTGTGTTAAATTTCGTCAAAATCGGTTCAGATTTATTTTGAAATTGGGAAAACATCGGTTCAAATTTTGATATAGCTCCCATATATATTTTCGTCCGATTTAAGGTAAATGGTGCACCAAAGTACCTATATATCTTTCGATTTGCACCAAACTTGGCATATCGTACTAAATTAAGTCTAGAGAGATGTTTTTTTTAAATTTCGTCAAAATCGGTTACGATTCGGCTTTGTGCAGTCCCAAAACTTACGATCGTCATATCCCGACTAGCTGAGTCGATCTAGACATGTGTGTCCGTCCGTCCGTCTGTCCATTATAATTTGTAAACACGATACAGGCCACAGTTATAGACCAATCTTCATGAAATTTTGAATGTATGATGGGTTCTGGCCAATGAAGACCACTATTGTTTTTGAGAAAAATCGGTTAATATTTAGGGCATGAAATATTTTTATGTTTGTCGGTTTTTCTGTCATATGCCGCAATTATGGACCCTGACTTTTGTGTGAAAAATTACAAAAATTGTATTCTATAGCGTATATATTTACCCCTGAAGAACAAAGACCCGAGAAATTGATAGCATATCCAAGAGGAGTGGTTGACCTTTAAATTGATACCATTTATATTGTCGTTTGTACTCGGGTGTGAGAGTTACACTTAAGTATTTACAGGTGCTTACGTATTCAGATATTATTTAGTTGCCCATTACCGCACTAGAGGGCGGAAATATAGCCCTGATCGCTTTAAAATATTTCATGAGGTTCCAGTTATGGCCAAGGAGAACGCCTATCATTTTCGGTGATGATCAGATAGAAATTTTGGGATGAAATGGACCAAAAACTTAAATTTTTGTGTTTTTGATCTATAACCAAGAATTAAAAGCCGAACATCACAATACAACCTACTTCGAAGGGAATCTGGAAAAGTAATTAGAAACGCTATACTGAATATTTTGATATTCGGAAAATATGTCAGTGTAAGGAAGAAGTGCTGTTGACCTCTAATCGGGTAAGAGGGAACAAATAGCACGAAATATTGCCCAGACTCGGAATAAACATGGTCGGCCCCGTCCGACTATAATGCTCCGCTCACTGGTTTTTAAATTTATAATTATAATAATATCCCTTATGTATGTGACAGAGTATGATCTGGCAACAAGCGACCATTTATCGTTCTCAACTTTATAATAAATTGCTGTTTTAAAGAATTTTTCTTCGAATGAAGAGTTGATCAACCAAAGTGGAGCAACCACAAAATCGTACTATAACAAGTAAGAATGTCTTTAAGTTCGGCCAAACTTGTAATACCCTCCACCTTGAAGAGGGCATTTACAATATATAAGGGGGTATGTCATGATTCAAAGTTTGGAAATTGTCGAAATTATATTCCAATATATAGCGATTTCAATCGAAATATATATTATTGATCGGTCGAATATGTCGAAGTAATGTAAACTAAATGACAAATTAGAGAGAAATGTTGAAGGTTGGCTTTATTTATAAGGCTTAACTCTAGTTTAGGGACTCCTACAAATCATGAGAAAATACGATGGGTCCCAATGGAACTTTGGAGGCTCATATCTCCGGAAATACTGATTTCCACAAGAAAAATTTTACCGTTATATACCAATAATCCACGAGAGACTTTAGCCTTATAAATAAAGCCAACCTTCAACATTTCTCTATAATTTTTCATTTAGTTTACAATATTTCAAAATGATCCAATAAATAAATGGCCCTTAAAAGATCTTCTGCCTAAAGCATATCAATTATAAGTAAATTATCTTTAACAAATCTTATAGATCATCTTTTACGATAAATGAGTTGTTCGATAAAAATTTTTTCTCCACTTCACTATTTTTGTAGCAACACATCATTATTTTGATATCTAGTCTATTGTAACAGTGTGCAGTTCATTCACTTTATCTGCAAGATAAATGGCCACATTATCTACACAAAAACCTACTGAATATTAAAAGAGCCGGTAGACAGTCGTCAAGACAGGTTACACGCAATAGTTCACATCATATGACATTTAATCTAATGCGAAACCAACAACAAAAAATGTGTGAAATATGTGATCATTGAAAAAAATGATGTAATTAATTACACTGTAATCATTACATGTCACACAAACACAGCCTACCTACAAACGTATCTTCGGATGCTTGCAAGTAACTAAAAAAAGTAGTATTACAAATTGTTTACAAATTTCTACCTACAACATTGATAGTTTTTTTTTTTTGCTTCGTTCGTAATTTTGTAAATAAAACGTGACCTTCCTCGAAACCCTACTAGACGATTTTGAGATGAGTGTTAAATATTTCATTGAATTGCAGTGAAAATCACGTTCTCAACATTTTTTGCTGTCAGAAAAAAGAAACAAAAAACTGACAGTTGAAATTAGTTTATTGCAAAAAATAAAAATAATTAAAATGTTGTTGTCTTTGTATTTGTACTTGCCTAATAACATTTCGAACCTTTGACTTGTATGATTGAGAAAATGTGTTCATTAGCCACAACTTTAATACGTGAGCTCTATCTATGACTGTAGTGCAGAAAATCTCTGTGTTTGATTGGTCTTTGGTGTTTGGGATGAGTTAGATGTGCATTTGGTAAATTGAGGTATGTAAGATATAAATGAAGTTGCATCTATGTAATCGCAAATGTTTGTTTTTTCATATTTTATAAGAAATCTCAATGGAAAGATGTATGGAAAACTGAAGACATAGCCAAACTCTACAAATAACAATATGATTATACTAAACATAAACAAAAAATATCGAAATAGAAAAGCAAATCAAAAAATTACAACAATTATATTTGAGGAAAAAGGTAAAAAATAAATCTAACTCAGCGCGGTTAGGATTTGATCCTACGTTGCCCGGGCGAAACAAATATGATTCGGGACTTAACGTTC